CAGCAATAAATAAGCAGATTTCAGCCATCAAAACGAGACCTAATTGTCCCAAAAAGGCCACCAGGCGGAAGGTGACAACGAGGGGCACACAAGCGCAACTTCGGTATAACGCACCTGCTCTCCCTATGAGGCATACATGCAAGGTCGACGTGAGGGAGACGGCTGCTCCACCGCTGAGAAGCGGAGACCAGACCCCCGTTTCCCTCCCTATGGACCGGTGGGGGTTATCCTGGTCTACCCTTGGGAGACCCTGGTACAACCCGGCAGGAAAGCTGAGGCGACGCAGGGGCCTGCAACAAGCTGCGGCACCGCATCCAAAATGGCGGAGGCAGCGTGCTCCTCCAGTACTCACAGCGTGCAGACAGAAGTCGAGCACCGGCTGGACAGAGCCAGCTTTCTGGGCCAAGCTGGTGGCCCTTATGTTCCCAGGGAATCCAGAGGCAATGCCTGTAACCCAGCGACACACTCATCCAAGCAGGGTTAAACGGGAGAAGGCACAGACACCTCGAGCACCGAGCCGCCCAGAAAGTTGGGAGCAGCTGGGCATTAACAGGCGGCAGGAGACCTGAGATCCATCAGGCGGCAACAGGTACATACCGACAGCCCCAGGGAACCGACAAGAACTCATGCGGACGCCCTCCCACCAACCTGATAGCGAGGGCCTGACACCAAGAGGCCAGAACTACCCGACCCACAGCCTGCTGACGCAGACCTGCTCTACCCGTACAAGGCATAGGCTGACCAGCTAAACGGGAGAGAGGACTATCCTAAAGGATCAACAGTACCCACCATCCACAAACTACTTGGACACTCACTCTACTATGCAGCCCCATACTAGGAGGCTTACTTTTGAAGACAAGACTATCATTTCCTACCGCATGCCAAACTCCCCCCCCCGGACTGCCCAGCTCTGCCCCTTGCTGCACAGCTGTCCAGCGATCCCCTGGGACATACCACACCATTTGCCCTAACTTCAGGACTAAGCCTGCCCCCATACACTAAGCGGAGAACCTACATATTTTGCCTACCACGTAAATATAAAAACGTGCATGTACCTTAGATATCCCAACTGTTATAGCTATGTATCAAAACACGCTGGAGGATTGCCATTGGGGTACCTCAAGCGCAGATGTTAAACGAATATGCACTGCAAAAATAAAAAAAATAAAAAATAAAAAAAGACTTTGAGAACCAACACTGGGCAACGTGTCCAGTGAGTTTCATAGTTGCCCATGTGAATGTGATTGGTCTGAGTCTAGACTCCTATCTAGAAGGATGCAGAACAGACCATCATCAGAGTGGATGCCATCATTTGTGCTGAGGGGCTTGGGGGGGGGAACTCCGAGTCGGTGGTAAGACAAGCCACCATGACAGTGATCCAGCACGCACACTCCTTGCTCAGTCATCCAGCACACGCATAACTTGGACACAAAGTGAAACTTCCTGCTTTGAAGTCAGTGGGAGAGTGGGCAGTCGTATCTCTGAGGTTATAAGCTGCTATATGCATTGTGCAGCAACCTAAGGACAAAGGCATTCAATGCACCATAACCTTCACTATGAGAGTAGATTTAGCGTCACACAAAAATCAATGGAAGAAGATAACACTGCATTCTAAGTATATTTAAAAGGAATACATGGAGGTCAGGTTATAATCTGATTTATCGCTGGTAGGAGGATAAAACGTCATCTATTACAGCAAACAAATTGATCCATACTGTTGCATTTCTTTTGATTTGTAATCACTGTAATACTGTACATTCCCAGCTGTAATTTCTTCTAACAACACTTCCTAAACGGGTTTCCTGTTTCCTCTCTCACTAACGTCCGGAAAGAAGGGGAGGGGTGATGGACTGGGCTCGATGCAGTGAATTGTATTAAAAAACCTTTAATATAATCTGTGTTCCCACGACCTTTTAATGCCCTGTATTTATAAAGTAAAATAGGCCAACAAGATATTAAATTGTTACAATGCCACTTAGTTTAGCGTTTGAAAGAACGTCAAAGTGAGATCATAAAGTGGAGTTTGCTTTGGTTTATAGAACGTTAAAGGGACAATCTAAGGCAGCAATATAACCAATACATCTATCTTTAGTGATTGTTGCCTTGCATGGCCTGACACTGTATCTAATCTGAGATCAGGAGATAACAGAATTTGCATTAAAGGAAGTATAAACATTAGATGACTCTTTACAGGAAGGCTTAAATCAACCCCAGTACTCTCAGGCAACGGACGAAATTTATATTGATTATGAGGAAGCATCAACAATACCCTTTTTTAATTTCAAATGATTGCTAAAGGGACAGCGAGTGTCCCTTTAACTTAAGGTAATTAAATAAAATACATATTGTTATGGAACTGCTAAGAATGTAATGAATTGATAGAAATTCATCCCGAGGACATACAAGATTTGGGGAGTATATGTTTGGGATTTGGAATCCTTGGCGCTCATATCTGTGAAGGCAAGGTTGCACTTGTTTTACCAACACCATGTTTCGGCTAGTGGTTGGGAAAAGGGCCATTATCGCTATTTCTGTAACTTGTGCCTAGACGGGGGGCGGGGGGGGGGAATTAGAAGAGATACTTATTCTAAGTACCGAGCTCCGCTACACCGTTGTCTGCTGGACTAGAGTAGCGTGTTAAGAGATAATGTGTGGGAATACTTGGGTCGCAATATTATATGATTATTATAATTTATGAAGCACTAACATATTGCATAGCAATGTACAATTGGTAAACACAGCATACAAATACATTTAGGAAAATCTACAAAAGGCAACTAGTGACCTCTCTGTCTAGGAAGTGGGATAAATGTAGACATAAGATAAATTTCAACTTATCCAGAAGTATATAAGATTTACCGGTCCTGACTGCATCTTACCCTACATATTACCTGCATGAATTATGTGGCAATGCAATATTTTCATGAAGGAGGTGTAATGGTTCAAGCAGACATAGCAAGGACAATTTAATGAGAAGACTGTGATAAATTATATAAAAAGTAAATTTATATTGTAACTTGATAGTGATGTTTTTAGGAGTTTCTAAAGGACTGGAGACCGGAGGAAGTTGTGATTATTTTATATATCATGGACAGGAAATTACACTACAACCCGTACATTAATATCAGTCTATATACTCAGATGATAACAATGAAAAAGACAAATTAAAAACAAAATGTGTTTGCGTTAAATCCGCAGGGTCTGCCAAGAGCAATAAATGGTGTTTCTTCCGTGTGAACATTAGATTTGTGGGATAAATATTTTACCTGTAGCAAACAAAGCGACTCGATGAGCAGGTGTCAGTTTGTGTGCGGTTTGTTTCAGCATTCATTGTAGTATCATTTATATTTTTTATTAATTAGAGGACCGTTCTATGAACCAAAAGCACCGCAGTGCAATATATAGGTTTTCTTGTCTGCCTGTTAATACCAGGATCAGTGGCTATAACCTGACAGGTATTTCCCTGAATATTACCACTTCCTATATTTGGTAAATTTCACTTACATTTACAATTATCTGCGTAGCGCCATCATATACTGCAGCGCAGTACAAAAGGAAAAACAAGTCAAATAATTCTAACAAAACATGTTTAACATGTGGGAACAGTAGGCGAAGAGCTTAGAATATAAAAGGATAATGGACAAATACATAGGGCGTCGAATAGAAGATATTTATTATGGAACAAAATACAGTTACATAAGTGGATAGAGAGAGACAGCTAACATACAAGGCTCTTTCAGTCTATCTACATTTTTCTATTGACTACCATAACTGTATGTGTGCGAGGAAGGAAGGATGGTGTCCCTTCCACCTTGAGTTCTTTGTTTGTTTTTACTTTTTATACAAAGCATATGTGATAACACTGCCACAACACGAACGCAAAACCAGGCAATCAAATTGTGACTTTGTGTCCAGCTATCAAAGTCCTTAAAGCCTTGTTGTACTGGATGGAGAGGGTAACTGATCTTTAGGTTGTGACCCGTGGAATTGGCTTAGTCCAATTTTTCCAATTTAACTCTTTCTTCGCCATCATATAGTCATTGGAATTTACGGTTGTGAATTTCTTTAAAATTCCATCTTCCTGACCCTGCTCTTTTTAATATTATATTATTCCTGGCATTTCTAAATTGTACACTGCTGCACAATTTGGGAAAAAGACAGTACAATATCCACAGACCAATACAAAATTCATCTTTTATGTGAGCTGAGTATTAGCCATGAAAGCTCTTTTATACAAAGTACTAGCCCCTGGAGCTGACAATCTTAAAGGACCACTATTGTGCCAGGAAAACAAACTCATTTTCCTGGCACTATATGGTCTTTAGGTTCCCCCCCCTGCCCCCACCACCATCCTCTGGGTCCCACTCCCGCCAAGCTCTAGGGAGAGGAAGGGGTTAAACGCTTACCTTTCTTCAGTGCCAGGCTCCCTCGGCGCTAGGGACTCTCCTCCCTCTTCGACTGAATCCACATGCACAGCAAGAGCTGCGTGCGCATTCAGTCTGTCCATAGGAAAGCATTGTCAATGCTTTCCTATGGACGCTGGTGTCTTCTCACTGTGAAAATCACAGTTAGAAGCATGGAAGCGCCTCTAGCCGCTGTCAGTGAGACAGCCACTAGAGGCTGGATTAACCCATATGTAAACATAGCAGTTTTTTTGAAACTGCTATGTTTACAGCAGGCAGGGTTAACCCTAGATGGACCTGGCACCCAGACCATTTCATTGAGCTGAAGTGGTCTGGGTGCCTATAGTGGTCCTTTAAAGTTAAATGAGTCGAGACAAGAGGTAGAAATATTCAGCCACTGGTAATATGTAAGAGGTCATTGAGTAAGATGTCAAGCAGTTGGAGAAGCATGCTATAAGGTAAGAAGACAGGATGGTGGGTAATGCTAAGTGAAATGAAGATTCTCTTTTTCTTCCTGGTTAGGTGGATAGAAGACCTCTGAAAGTTTGCTGGGCGGGTTGAAAATTAAGTTTCTCTTCCTTATTTTCTGGAGGCTCTGATGGTTTTTGGGTAAATGTGTCTCACCAGAAGTCCACAAAGGATCATATAAACCAGAAGCTTTTCATTTCTGGAGCTTCTATCCTGTTAAAATGAAGAAAAGTGTTGAACATGACGGGTTACCTATCAATGACTCTTTTCTGCAGTGAAGGCTCCATTTCGAGGTTCCTATATCGATAATAACAGACCAAGAGTCTACAGTACTACAAAATGTCATCAGAAATCCACAAACAAAATCTATTTTATAATATTTGAACAATGTTTACACAGTTTTAATGTTACATTTACCAATTGCATTAAGAACCTACTTAAGGAAGATAAGAGACCATATCCTAACCAGTATCCATGAGAAGACTAATGTCTCTTATAGACACCCATATAGGCAGTATGTTACACACATATATCATTGGAGCACTAAAATGGTTTCTGATTGTACCTAATTGTATGTGTCTATCTTATAAAAACAAAAATGATACCTATTAACCCTATTTGGAGACATGTTTATGTAAGACACCTAGAAATGTCTCATCTATCGACCTTTGTCTCCTGGTTAGGTTTATGTCTTTCACTGTCCGAAAGCTAATCGTATGTTTTTATGTTTATCCTCGGGGTCTTCCCATGGCAGCAAGATGTAGTTATCAGTTATAAAACTATCAATGTTAAGCTGGCTATTATGTGTTCTAAAAGTTGGGTGTTTTATATATTGTGTAGCATGCTGCTATTTCTGTATCTGGTCTGTCATTGCTTGTTGTTAAAAAAAAAAAAAGGAACACTGTAGTGTTAGGAATAACTGTAATATTAACACTACAGCCCTAAAGCCCCTTGTCATGCAGGTCTCCCCCAATACTGTATGAAAAAAATAAAAATGACTCACCTTTTCTCCCTCAGCGCTGACACAACCTCCCCCTCAGGTTGCCTCCTGGATAACGGGCCAATCCAGTGCCCCTCATTGCGGAGCATTGGTGACTTTAGGCACATGTGCCTAATTTTCTGCTATAAAGACTCATTGATTATAAAGATTCTCTATGCCGACTGTGATGGCACAGCGCATGCACACGTGATGTCACAGTATGTTACTGTATGAGGACCGGAATGATGGCTCTCATACCCAGAGGGTTTGGAGGCATGGCTTCCAATTCCTCTAATTAGTAAACTAATGGGTTTTGGGAGGGTAGAAGAGATGGGGCAGTACTGCAGGCACTATAACAACTTCAGTAAAATTAAGGTGTTAAAGTGCCTACACTGTCCCTTTAAATCCGTCACATCATGCCACCTGTTTTTTTATATGGTAAACATATAGGAAAATATATGAGACACAAAAGCAGATGTAAAATGAACTGTTTAGAACTTGTTGCTATTTTTACATGTACTCCTATTTATAAAACCTGAATGATCATATGACAGTATTACATAACCAAGGGACAGAGACTTTCAGAGTTTATGTACTAACGGTAGAATTGTCGAGAATTCAAAGTTAAATTCAAATTTAAGGCCAAATAGCCAAACTGGAAAAAAAATCTCTCTAAGTCAACAATGCTTCCATTTTGACTACTTTCGCCCTAACTGTGAAATTCACTTTGAATTCACTTTAAATTACCAACAATTCTCCCGTTAGTTAATAACCTGACTGTGTACTATATGAGACAGAAGTTTTCAGAATGCTATTCATGACCAGACATTCTAAGCTTCAGTTTATATGTATCTTCCCTTTTAAAGCATTATGAAGAAAATTAGCTCTGTATTACCCTGGGATTCTGTGGGCACCAAGAAATGAGTGAAATTCACAGCCAATAATAATGCCAATAATAGTGAACTTTCTTAGCAGATCATCAATGGTATCGTTCAGTAGCTGTGAGTAGTTTTATTCATGAAAATACATGAATGAAAATGCATATTCTTCTTGCTTACAAAAAGTCCTCATAAAGTTGGAGGAGAATAGTTACCTAAAGGTTATAACAGATCAAATGTTTTTTATTTAGCACTATATATTATTTCAGGGTTTGTGTTTGCTATAGATACAAAATCTTTTTTTTAATTGCTCTTTATTTTCAAAAAGCCAAGCACCCCTGTTATATATACACACGTGCATATACCGTATAAACAGTTGTAAATAAATATTTTACATTTACGTGTATATTAATACATGTTTTAAAAACAATGGACAGAGACATAACGCCGTTGTTTCCCTCCATAAATAATTACATAACACAGTCTCAATTTAAATCAGGGTAACAACAGAAAAAAGCAAAATAAGAGAAATGTAGACTGAAAGATAAAATTATGAGAAAGATAAATGGGGTGAATGGGGGGTGGGGGAGCATAGCATACAGAATCGTTTTGAGATTGTGAGGTCTATCTAACTAAGCACTCTGTAAAACAGAGCTTCTATTGCTAGATCACAGCTCGCAGGCAGAGTCCTCCTTACCTTTTGTATTGATCTGTGTATATTGTACTGTTTGTTTTCTCTTCCCCCCTCAATTGTACAGGACTGCAGAATATGTTAGCGCTCTAAAAATAATAATAACAACTAGAAAAGCTACAATTTCTGGGGAAATTGTGTGAAGTGTTCTTGCCTCCACCAGTAGTCTACAACTGGAGTGGGCGGAGTAACTGTTATCATTTATATAGCACATTTAATTGCAACAATGTTGCCCAAAGTGCTTCACAGTTACATTAAAACATACATTTATAAAAAACATTAGCAGGTGTACAAAAGGCCCTGTCTATAACATCACTTGCTGCTGCAGCCTGGCACAGGTCAGAGTATTTTGGCGGTTGCCATCTTCAAACGGTCGTATTTTAAAAACTATAACTCCTACAGCGAAGAGCTTTATATTGTGAGAATCACAAGACCCACACCCACATTTTGATGCATAGTATGTCTCTGAAGTATTAAAAATGAAGGTGCAGTTTAGAAATTGCCCTTCAAATTTAAGCTGGCTAGAGTGGAGTTTCAATGAATGTCAATGGACGTCGTGAGTTGCAAACAAATGGTCATATTGTGAAAACTATAAGGACTATGGCTTAGCCGTGGACATGTTTAGTGGCAGCAGGGATAGCTGAACGTTTTGATATAAGATTTGTGTAGGTGGGCTTTGAGGGAGTGGTGGCAGTTTAGAAATCATGTCAGCTTTTGCCAGCTCCCACTCTAGTTTTGAACATTATGCCATTCATTCCTATGGGATCAATTTTGCCACAAGAACAACGATATTCCGTGAACCATTCGGCGACGTTCCACAAAGTAATAGCAATCCAATCGGGAACAATCCGCATGTTTCGATATATTACTGTCTATGTAGTGTAAAAACTGTGGGAGGAGTTAGGGTGGTAAATTTGGCTATAATAATAATAATAATAATATATGTGAGATAACATTAAGTGGTCTTGCTATGCAAGAACACTTAATAAAACTGTCTGCATGATGACATACCTGGGTCTCTCCAGAGACCACAGATGACATAATCGCAGGCCCAAAGGTGGAGTTACACATCTAGTAGCTTAATTAAATACCTCAGTATGTGCAGCATGGCGTCTTATACTAATATAGTGCACATACAGACTCTTTGTCTCATGAAACACTGAAGTGGTCATGGTTCTTGGAGTAACTCTTTAAAGCTTTTTTAATTGGCCATTGTCATTTAAACAATACTTATGATATAGTACTGCAGATGACACTGACCTATTATACAAACACCCTCACTTTATGAAAAGAAACGTTCTTATTTGTCTGTGAAGTGATGTATTTAGAAGCAGTGTTACTATGGCCTACTTATGGCACACACTATCTCCATCTAATTTAATTATTCAAATATTCAGTCATGATCATTATAATTATTTCTATAGGACCAGCATATTCAGTCACACTGTACAATTGTCTCCTACCTTTTCCAGTATCCCAGTCCTTGTGTCTCCTAATCCTGAATCAGTCGTGGAACTAACGTAAAGGGGGCTCTGATGCAAGAAATTTCTTTAGGGCCCGTCCCCCTCTAGAGCAAGGGTGGACCTCCCACATGATTTGCAAGCTGGGTATCTTTTATTTGCCCATTTAATTTGCAAGCTGAGTATTTTTATTTGCCCATCCTTGCCCATCCTTGCCCATCCTTGCAGAATGGAACGCCCTTCCCCTCTCTGTTAGACTCTCACCCAGTCTCCACTCCATCAAAAAACTTTGAAAACTTACTTCTTTAGGAAATCATATCAATTAAACTGTGGACAGCTATCCCTCCCCGTACCCTGATACCTCCCCTGAAACTGTCATCAAAACAAAACACTAAGCTCTCAATGAACACTATCCTAGCCACCTACTTTTCTACCTGACTCTAACCTTTTCTGTCACATTACCCCACTCCCTCTAGCATGTAAGCTCATTGAGCAGGGCCCTCAACCACACTGTTCCTGTTTGTCAAACTTGTCTGGTTACAAATACGTGTCTGTTAGTCCACCCATTGTACAGCACTACGGAACTTCTTGGAATAATAATAATTGTATTTGTGAGCAATGTTTGTGTGTTTGAATGTAAGCATGTTATTGTCCTGGAGTGTGAATGTAGGAGTGCACTTGTATGTACTGTTGCCATTTGAATGCTGTGGTATGTTTGTATGTAGTTTTGGCATTTGAATGTAAGGGTGTATTTTTGTAGTGGTTAGGGCTTTTGAATGCACGGGTGTTTGAAAGTAGGGGTGTATTTGTGTATAGTGTTGGCATGAATGCTGGCATGTATGGACATATACACATACACTGACACATACACATACTGACACAGATACATATTGACACTCACAGATACACTGCTACATACATACTAGGGATGTGCATGGACAAAAAATTAGGTTCAGTCGGCCACTTCTGAAATTTGTGACTTCGGCGATTCAGGACTTCTGCACTTTGGCACTATGGTTCCGGTCAAGAATTCGGCACTTCGGCACTTCGGCACTTCGGCACTTCGGTTCAGCACTTTCGGGGATACGAAATTTGGCAATTCGGGGATATGGCAATTTGGCAATTTGGAACTTCTGCACTTTGGGAATTCGGGACTTTGGCAATTCCATAACCCTAACCCTTACCCTACCCTTAAAATAAAAAAGTCCATCAAGTTCAACTGTGAAGCACATTCTTTTTTATGCTGTTGATCCAAAGGAAGGCAACCCCTCCCCCCCAAAAAAAAAACTATTGTAGCCATTTCCAATTACACCTCACAAAGGGGAACAAAATCCTTCTTCAAGCCATAATGGCAATCAGATTCCTCCTTTGATCAACAACCTTTCTGCTGTTGGGACTCTTATCTTTGGTAACAGACACAAACACAGACAAGTCATAATTTACATATATTTAGCCAACCCCTTCTTCCATACCTTTGGTTGCTGGAATGTGGCTCCCATTGGGTTCAGATTTGGCTGCTGACTGAGGCTGATAGGAGTTTGCTCTAGGCTCTTTTCCCTTTCCTCTTCCTGGGCCTCCCCACACAGTGCTCAGTAAGCCGATCTGACATGGGCCCAGTCACGCTGTAATACAGCCATGGCATCCCTGATCGTCCAAACCTCTGTCTGAGAATAAAATTTGGTTCACGTAATTGGATCGTCATACATGTGCCAGTTTCTCTCGTCCAAATATCGTCAATGTAAGAATTTTATATACATAATATTATTATATTTTCTTTATTATTATTATTTTATTATTTATATAGCGCCCGCAAATTCCATAGCGCTGTACTAAATATTATCAGGGTTATTCATTAAAGGAAAAATTAAGAGTGAATTCAAGGTGAATTTCCAACCATATCAAAATAGCCGAACTGGAAAATTCTCTAAGCCAGCTATACTTTTAATTTGACTTCTGTGACTTTAATTTTAAAATAATTCCACTTTGAATTCTCACTTTAGCATCTATATATTTTAAGTACATTGAATGGAGCATTTTGCCGCCATTTTTTTCACATATCAAATAAGAAAAAAATAGCCACTAGAGAAATATATTTATTAAAAATGTTATTTATATATAATATTGATTTTAATTTTTTTATACTGCTCCTACTATTTCCCCTCTATTGGTCACTGTTCTGTGAATAAAGTCAACATTTAGTGCGTGCAGGGCCGGATTAACATAGGGGCTGATGGAGCTACTAGTAATACCAGCAATACAAATGCAAATACTTTTTTTCAGTATAAACGGAGATTACTCTGCAATACCAACACCATACTGTGTATGGAAAGAGGCAGGGATAGGAAGTTACAGCATCTCCTTCCCTGCCTCTCTCTAATCCAGTGGTAGTCAACCTTTTTCTACCTACCGCCCACTAATGCATCTTTCTTGATGGAAAATTTTCCTTACCGCCCACCAGATTTTGCGCAAGTGCAGAATATTTTTTAGAAAGGAGGTATCTTTTTATTTCTACTTAATGCATGTTTATAATGTTTTTAACTTTATAAAGTTTAATGAGAAAACAATAAAGTAAATTGAAATTACCTTTACTAGTGATTAATGAGATCCTTGAGGTTGATGCTGCGACACTAAATATTTGATATCTGGTTCGATTTTCGTAACGAACAAACGAAGGTCTCCTCTTTCGGTGATATTCAGACGACTTCTCTGTTTGCTCATAATATGATTTCTCATCTGTGCATCAGCTCCCCTCCTCTTCCTCCTCAATTCCCCTCCCCACTTTTTTTTCCCTTTTTTCTATTTTTTAACCTTCCTTATAGCAATGCCCAGTAGGAAGGCTGAGCTAGGTAGTCCACTTTCTATAGCCCACTATAACAGACAGGCACACATACATACATACAGACACACACACACACACACACAAGACACACATACACACATACACACATACAGACACACAGACACACACACAAGACACACATACAAAGACACATACATACAAACAGACAGGCACACATACATACAGACACACAGACAGGCACACATGCAGACACACACACACAAGACACACAAGACATATACATACAAACAGACAGGCACACATACATACAGACACACACACACGCACATATACAGACACACACACACAAACAAGACACACATACAAACAGACAGGCACACATACATACAGACACACACATACAGACATGCACACACACACACACATACAGACACACACACACAGACATGCACACACACATACAGACACACACATACAAAGACACACACATAAGACATATATAGACACATACACACATACAGACAGACACAAGACACACATACAAAGACACATACACACACAACACATACATACAAAGACAAGACACACATACATACACACATATATACAGACAGACACACACACACACACACACACACACAAGACGTCCATCTTGTCTGGTTACAACTACATGTCTGTTCGTCCACCCATTGTAAAGCGCTGCGGAATTTGACGGCGCTCTATAAATATAATAATAAAAATAATACATACAAAGACACATACACACACATACAGACAGACACACACAAGACATACAAAGACACACAGACACAAGACATACATACAAAGACACATACACACAAACAAACATGCACAAAATATTTTAGTCACCCTCCTGTTTCCTACCTTTTAGGTGCAGGAGGGTGACATTCCCTGGGGTCCAGTGGTGGCTCAGATGGATGGGAGTCAGAGTTCCCACTCTGACTCCCTCTGCTTCCTCCCGCGCGGTCTGTGTGGTAGCTGGGAGGAGTGACGTGTAGTCACTTCCTCCCAGCTCTGTGATGTCATCACAGGGGGCCCGGTCGCGCTGTGCCGCGGCCGCAAATGGTGACGGCGGTACCCGGTCGCAGGGGTGTCTCCGTGTCTCCCAGTGTCCCCATGTCTCCCAGGCAGTGTCCCTAGTGTCTCAGTATCCCCATGGCTCCCAGTGTCCCCTAGTCTACCAGTGTCCCCTAGTCTCACAGTGTCTGTGTCCCCATGTCTCCCAGTGTCCCCATGTCTCCCCATGTCCACATGTCTCCCAGCCAGTCTCTTAGTGTCCCCATGTCTCCCAGTGTCCCTATGTCTCCCAGCCAGTGTCACCAGTACCTGTGTCCCCATGTCTCCCAGTGTCTCTGTCCCCATGTCTCTGTGTCCCCATGTCTCCCAGTGTCCCCATGTCTATGTCCACAAGTGCCCCCATGTCTCCCAGTGTCTCCAAGTGTCTGTGTCCCCATGCCTTCCAGCCAGTGTCCCTAGTGCCTCAGTGTCCCCATGTCTACGAGTGTCCCCTAGTCTCCCAGTGTCTGTGTTCCCATGTCTCTCCGTGTCGCTAGTGTCTTAGTTTCCCCAAATGTCTGTGTCCCCATGTCTCTGTCTCCCTAGTGTCTGTGACCCCATTTCTTTCAGTGTCCCCATTTCTCCCAGTGTCCCCATGTCTGTATCCACAAGTGCCCCCATGTCTCCCAGTGTCCCCAAGTGTCTCGGTGTCCGTGGGTCTCTGTGTCCCCATGTCTCTCAGTGTCCCTTAGTATCCTAGTGACACGGGACACACTGGGACATGTGGACACTTGTAGAAATGGGGACACAGACACTGGGAGACCAGGGGACTGGGCGACATGGTGACACTGACACTGTGATACATAGGGACACTGATGCCAGGCTGGCCTTCCAATTCTTTGGACAGACATGCCCCCTTTTTATGCATGTTCACCCCTTTTGGCAGTTCTGGTCATGTGATTCGCATCAGTGGCCCACTCTTTTATCCTGCCCATTGACTTCCTGCTTCACTGGACACTGCTGTTAGGGGGTATGGATTTACTTGAAAAATGAAAGCTTAAATTAGAAAAAGAGATTAGAATAGAGTATGTGTTTTCTTATAGCTGCATCCTTTGAGTTTCCCCCCAACACCAAATCCATTAGATACATGACACTTGGGAGGTATGACTGTTTGTGTTTTTGGTCGATAAGATTCTGTAATTAGTCACCATCATAATTGTCAGCAACAGGCCCACTGGGCTCTTAATCTGGCACTGAGTAGGTGTCTGCATTTTTTCCCATCAATCCTTTCTTTATTTCACGCCATTGGCGCACAAATCAAACAAACCTGATTGTCCACTGCGCAAGTCCTTTGTTTGCTGGAGTTGTGGAATTCGGCGGAAATGCCGAATGTTCTATATTCGGACAAATTACAATTCAGCCAAAAACAAATGCACCAGTCTAATCCATAGTCCTTTTCCTATCGTGTGGGAATATAACATGTGATGTCACTGATATTATAATTATTATTATTTTCTACAAGGCAGATTCAGTACATAATACAGTAACTATCATAAAATACAGTCCACTGTTGGCATAAAAGTTAGTGATGTGTTCTGTTGCTTTTTGTTGCCACTACGCAGCTCCCGAAAAAACAATTGATTGCTTCTCATTGCATCGCCGGCTTAGCTGTAAATACCCCATGTGCAAAAGGTTTATGTCGAACATGTTTTGTTTTTTTAATGCATAGAGCCGTCAGCTAAAAACATTCCTCTCATTGTACATAACAGCAGAGACATCACAAATAAATCCTCGGAATACATATGTGGAAGACTGCACCTTTAAATAGCAGGAACTTTCCCATGAGAATCCTACTAAAAACAGAATTGGAACCAAAAGAAAACATCCGCATCAACAAACAGCCTGTACGGGAGCCCAGAGCTGCGTGGGAACATCATATCTCTCTTCCTGATGGGAATAAATAGAAAGCCAGGATGCTGAACACAACGTGGAATCTGCTGTGTATATTATTCATTCCAGGATTCCCACCCTGAAAACACTTTTAGACAGGTTGCAGGTTTTTAACTATTCCATTCCTGGAGCCTTTATGGTGGGGGGTATGAAATTAAAAACTGATGCTATTGTGGGGCAAAGTCCTAAAGAAGACCCCATCACCATGGAAACCAACAGAATGTTTCTTGATATTTAGCACGCTTAGAATAGCACTTTTTTACTTGATAAGACTCCCCTATGTTTTAACAAACTGCATTGCTTTGTGGTTACCTTACGTCTATTGTGTATAAAGTGATTAAAGATGGATGCTAGGCAACCACAGTTAAAGGGACACTATAGCCACCCAAAGAGCTTGAACTTAATGAAGCGGTTTTGGTGTAAAGATAATGCCCCTGCAGTCTCACTGCTAAATTCTCTGCCATTTAGGAGTTAAATCACTTTGTTTATGCAGCCCTAGCCACACCTTCCTGCATGTGACTTGCAAAGTCTTTCTTAACACTTCTTGTAAAGAGAGATCTAATGTTTAAACTTTCTGTATTGCACATAATTAAAATTTCATTTAGAATTCATTATCTCCTGCTCTGTTACTAGCTTGCTAAAGCCTGCATAAGCCTCTCATGTGTATTTAAAGTTCAATTCACAGACAGCCCTTCGTCAAGATAAAATACCTCAACTTCTGGTGTGGGGCTCTATAGACGCAAATCCAATACCACGGACGTTCTATAATGGACTAACAGTAGCAATGGAAAAAGAATGCAAAATGTTCTGTAGTGCTCAAAA